AGTGATGAAATAACTAAAAGGTTAAAAATGTCCCCATTCATCAAAGGCATCCAGGTGGCACTTTCTCTCACCAGTTTCTTGCCTTTATACAGATTATATTAAGGTTAGATTTTGTCTGAGGTGGATTATCCTGTGCTAAAAAGTTAAATTTAAATTTAAAATTGGTTTAAAAGTTCTTTAAAGACTGTTTGTACCTGCATGGCAGCAGTCAATTATTGATTGATTAACTGGAGTAATTAAGAGATATGGTGTCAGGGAGTGGGGGTCAGGAGATTACCAATAACCGCAATCACCATTACAATCAATGTGCAAACAGATAAAACTGTTGTCATCTTTAGTTGTTAGTCAAGAAATTAAAAACAAAAATATCCAAGTAAATAAAGTTTTAAAGTTTAAGAGCACTAAATAAAAAAATCAAACCCACTGCTGTGGATGTATTCCACGTCATAGCATCCCTGTAGGACAGTAGAACTGTCCCAAAGGATTTGCAAAGTTGTAATTTTTACAGGAGCTCTGGTAGCGTAGTGGTTACGAATTGGGCTGCTAACCTCAACGTCAGCAGTTTGAAACTACCAGCTGTTCCGTGGGAGAAAGATGAGGCTTTCTGCTCCCATAAAGATTTACAGCCTCGGAAACCCTGTACAGGGTCACTATAAGTCAGAACCAACTCCACAGTACTTAACAACAACAACAGTTTTTACAGAAGTAGACTGCCACATCTTTTTCCTTAGGAATGACTGGTGGGTTTGAACAACTCTCTGAAAGCAGTTAGCAGTTGAGTGCTTAACTCCTACACCACCAAAGACTCTGGGTTGATAACTGCAAGGCCATAGGGTCATTATGAGCCCAGATCAACTTGATGTCAGTGGTTTGGGGAAGCATTACTGTATGATATATAATTATCTCATCGTTAGCCAGCTCTTGATTGGTCCATCTTCCTTTGAAGAGCAGAACAGTACTGGATTGGACGGAGATACAGGTACTACCCCTTTCCACCTCTCTGACCCAAGTCTAATTCCTTATAGCTCAGAGCCTTACTTTGTTTTGTTTGTTTTTTAATTTACATATAATGTTTTTAAAGGTTTTTTTGTGGATTGAGTGAAAGTTTACAGGGCAGATCATCAAGTTTACCTTGTTTCATTACAATGATTATAATCCCCTCTGTGTACCATCAGATAACAGTATTTCTATTCACTTTAGCTCTTTTTTTTTTTTTCCCCAGAAAAAAAACCCCATTCAGGCATATATAATAATATATACCACCAAAGGGCACATTCTGCAAGTTTGCCTCCTGGCTGCCATTTCTTAGTCCCTCTCTTCCCATGAATCTAGAGTCCTCAGCTACGCCCTCTCTCCATGTCCCCATCTTTGCCTCCATCTCTGGTATGGATGGTTCTCTGGATAAGGTCTTGCATTCCGCTTGTGCTCTTCTCCCTTGATGGTTGTAGGGTCCTTTGTTTCTGGACTAAGATTAACTACTCCCCCATTTTTGATACAAAACTTCTACCTTTATAATTGTGACTGTCACAGTCATTATTGATAACAGTTACTCACTATTGAATCATCAGAATCTTATCCCCATCTCTTTTTACCAGATCCATCTGGACAAGATGAAAACTATTCAGTGGGGACTCTCTTCCCCCACACACTATTAAACTAAACTGCCCCTTGAAACCTTGTAAGCCAATCACTTTGTGCCTTTATCACCCCTCATTTTAGGTAGCCGATGGCTAAGTTGCCCATCCCTATCTGTCCTGTGTACAGAGGGGATAGCATTGTTACTTGATGTGAAGGCTCCTTCCCTGTCTTTTGGTATTTAGAGTTACTACCTCTGTGAGACTAGGTCAAGTTCATGAAATTGTAGCAATTTACACTCGTTTCCTTTATCAAGAAATGTTTTGCTCTTGTTTTTCTTTTATCTTTCTCTAGTCTAATTCTGATTATCAAGACATCGAGGCTAGGTCAAATGGTTACTATCTGCAACTTTGGGTGTTCTTGTGCGCCTCCTGTCACTTCATATCAGCTGGATGCTTCACTCTCAGCTCTAGACCTCCATGACTGTGTCCTTGTCTATGGGCTCAGGTATCTCCAGGTCTCACCACATTGCAGACCAACCAGCCCTTCCTCTTCTTTCTCTCATCTCCAGGTCAATGGAAATCTGTGGAATGTGGTTGAACTCAGCCCATTTCTTCACTGCTGCCTTTCCCCCTTCCACTTACCAGTAGAACAGTGTGGTTGTCAGCAAGCTTTCATGCCTGCTCATGTATTCCCTTTGAGTTTCAGTCTTAGAGGGGACTTGGTCCTGAAGGAACTTGATTGCTTGCCTTAATGGCTTCCTGGTGAACAACTTGCTTATTTTTGTAGTAGCCAATCATACTGCCATTTTTCTTTTGGGGTTTTCCTGCTGATCTTTCTTTGAAGCTGTATCTTCTGTTGTTTTAGTTGTTCCAGGATGGTCTGTTTGTCCTTTCTAGTGGGAATGTCCCACTTCAGAAGGTTCTGAATGGGGCTTAGGAGCCCACCTAAGGTCCTATACACTGCAAAGGCTCCGCAAGAGACCTATTTCACCGGGAAAGATCTAGAACCTCTTTTAACTATTCCAATCAGTTATAGGCTGAAGGTGGGCTTATAAGCTTTCTGTAATCATGTTTCCTGACATTCCTTTCTATCCAACTCAAGTGTCCATTTTATAATAGTAGGCAAGGGAAACCAATATACATAAGACAGTCATGCATCTCAGTATTATTTCCCCTATTCAATCTATGCCTTGATTCTTGTATTACTGAGCCCTGCTGTAATACAAGGTTGAACATGCATCACTATTTACCTCTGTCCCATTTAGCCCATGTAAAGCTGTCTCAGTGTTCCCCTATCTACCTTGTTCTTTCACCCCCTCCCCTTTCTTGTGTTTTCCCTTCCCCAACTTCCCAACTATGATGTGTCTGCCCCTACCCTGTGCTCCCTTCCACCTCTCCCAACTCCCCCCCACTCCAACCCCAACAATAACCAACAAAGAATTTTTTTTTTCTCCATTTTAGTATGGGTATCTTTTCTTAAGCTTTTACAATAATAGTCATATGTAATATTTGTCCTTTTTTGATTAATTTCACTCAGCAAAATGTCCTCAAGGTTCATCCATGTTATGTGGTGGCTTACAGTTTGCTTGGTAGCATAATAATCCATTGTGTGTATGTACCAAAGTTCGTGTATCCATTCTTCCATTGATGGGCACTTAGGCTGTCTCCATCTTTTTGCTATTGTGAATAGTGCTGCTGTGAACATTAGTGTGCACGTATCTACTCGTGTTATGGCTTGTATTTCTTGTGGATATATACCAAGTGGAAGAATTGCTGGATCATATGGTATTTCTATTTCCAACTTTCTGAGGTAGTGTCATACTGTTTTCCAGAGTGGTTGGACCATTTTGCATTCCCACCAGCAATGTAGGAGGGTCCCAGTCTCTCAACATCCTTGCCAGCATTTATTATCCTCTGCAGAATCATGGCATCCTACCAGACCCATCAGCAAAAGAGTTTTTTGTTGGTGGGAGTTACAAAGACTAAGGCTAGAAGAGACATGTTAAATAATTCACTACACCACAGATATCTTTTTTTTTTATACCATTGATAGACAGCTGGATGGATGCTCATGACATATAAGATTAAAAAACCTCTTTGAATAATATAAATAAATTTCTATAAAACAACAAGAAAAACTAATGTTCTATGAACTCACTACTGAAAATACCAAAAACTCAAACCAGTTGCTGTTGAGTTGATTGTAATTCATGTGTTTCAGAGAAGAACTGTGTTCAAATGGGTTTCAATTGCTGATAGATATCTTTTGAGATATCTGAGTAGATTTTCGGTTAGCACTACCCTGGGGACTGCTCGACTGAGCAGAAACAGATGAGATTTTGCCCAGTTTTATTTTTTGTTGTTGTTCTTTAAATAAGGAACTATTTGGTGCACTATCCCTATCGCTTCCTCTTACCCGACTCTTGTATCTCCTCCAGGTGGTCCTTCTCCTGCTCATGGTCTTCACAAACAGGTTGCTTTTGTGCTTTTACTGCATATGTATCTATCCATATCAACAAACAAAACATATATTTTTGTGTGTTTTGTTTTCCAACTGATATCATTATACATGTTGATATATGTGGCTTTTGTTTTTGTTTGTTTTACCAGTTTATTTAGTACATTATATAGAGTACATTGTCTGTACTCCAAGGTATGTTTGTTTCATTTTTCTCAACCCTCTTTGAAGGGTTGATCCCATATCTATTAACGGGTTGCTATCATGTTGATTCCAATTGAGTTCATTCCTAGTTTCAGAGTACGTTTCATGCATTTACCAAGTGTGAGCCATTGGACCTGTCTTCAACCTCAGTTGCTGATTATTGAAAAATGACGCTAATGATACTTCCTTTATAGCATTGTCTATAACTGAGTCAGTGTTTTTTCTAACACTGCCCGACTCCAGAGCTCTCCACTCCATCATGCAAACTAAACAAAGGAGAGAAAAAAATTATAACAAAAACCTTTATTAACTATCATCAAAATTTTTTAGAAAAAGTGGGAATATAGACATAAAATACATTGAGTAGCTATTAGATGCATCAGACCAATTGAAAAAGCCAAATTATTGTTATAAGCATATTTCCTAGGATCCTGTTTTGAATATCTGCCCAAAAGACTTTTTCTAGAACAGAAAAGGGACAAGAAGAGATGGGGAGAATATAACAGATTGGACAATCTTAAGTAGTACTTGTTTAGACGTATAACTCTGAAGCTATAATGAGTTGCTTGAAGGGAAGTTTGGATAAAATGTACTTAGCCTTTGTTTTGCTTAGTGTTGGCTCTTCCAGTTTGTTCATTGTTGAGAAAAAAAAAAAAATTGTATTAGAAATTGCTCTTGAGAGATCAATCCTTAACTGCCATCTTGATTTAAAGCGAAAGGAGTGTGTGTTTTGTCATCTCTCTCTTGTTTCTGTTTGTTAGGGGATGCCCATCGAAACATCATCATGTGGTTGGACCACCGAGCTGTGAGTCAGGTCCACAGGATTAATGAAACCAAGCACAGTGTCCTTCAGTATGTCGGGGGTGTGATGTCTGTGGAGATGCAGGCTCCAAAGCTTCTGTGGCTTAAAGAGGTGAGTGTATGGGAGTGATGAGATGATGATAAGGTGAAGAGTCTTCAAAAATTCATGGAATTAAATACAATTAAAAGATCATTGTCTTTTCCCACAAACTTGAGTAGGTTTCCATTTGTTGTAGACCTGTGCATATTTGGCATCTTATTGAGGTATATGTTTCATTCCCCCCGACCCCAGTAACTCTCTTTGAAGGATTGATCTCATTTTATTGATTAACCAGTTGTTATCAAGTAGCTTCCTACTCCTGGTGACCTCATGTGTGTCAGAGTAGAGCTGTGCTCCTTTGAGTTTCAGTCATTGCTTTATTGATCAGGTTGCAGCGAAATGGCTGCTGTTTTGCTATACTTAACTCATGCCAGGCATTGTAATAAGTATTTCACACAAGCTTGAATCCTAACAACAACTCTGTGACATATATTCTTTTGACTTGGTTTTGTAGACAAGGAAATGAAAACTCAGAAATTAACCAATTTACCCAAAGAGACACAATAAATATGTGACTGCGGTATAGTATGTTACTTAACATGGTTCTTCTAGTCATTCATAGTCTTATGACTCTCACAAAGTGATTGGGTGGGTCTGTGAAAATAAAGTGCTTTTGACCCATCAAGGGATTAGACTGTTATATATGCTACTAATGAAAATAAGGTGCTTGAAACCCTTGCAGGGGTGAGCTTATGCAAATGAAGTATATGAACCTTAAAGAGGGGACTGGTCAATTTTGCCACTAGCATAGTGGTTATGAATTGGGTTGCAAACTGCAAGGTCAGCAGTTCAAAACTACCAGCTGCATCGTGGGAGAAAGATGAGACTTTCTGCTCCCATAAAGATTTACAGCCTCGGAAACCCTGTTCAGGGTTGCTGTGGTCGGAACCTACTCAATGGCACTTAACAACAATAACATAGACCTAAAGGGAGTCAATCCCAGAAACAGAGTAGGAGGATTTCACTACTACCAAACCAAGATTTGAGTGTGTACTTTGAACCTGGTGTCCCTGTACTGAGAACCTCCTAGATCCAGCAGACAGAAAGAGCTTTAACACCAGAGATGGAAAAAGACAGTAAGAACCCCAGAAGAGAAACAAAGGTAGCAGAACCAGAAGATTAGTATGAGATAGTGTAGTGGGCTTCTTGGCCCAAGGAGCGTGGTGGTTCCTTACAGTGGGTATGCCAATCTACAAATTGGGAGAGCTTAGCTCTGTGGGGAAGAGGCTTGCTAGCAGTGGCACTTGGTGGATTAGGCTGACCGACCTTCTGAGCAAGAGAACAGAGCACTTTCTGGCACTTTTTGGCAGAGCTAAAGAAAGCTGCAACATTTCCTGAGCATGGTAGAAGCTGGACCAAGAGAGGCCTCTTACAGATCCTGTTGGCACACCTGAGCTGTCCTCACTGAATAACTGTATCCCAAGTCATTACTGATCCTGGTACTTCTCTAATACATCCCATTATGATCATTTAGCTCTGTGTGGCCACTGCAACAATTTATTGATTCCAAAAGAGAGACAGAATGTGCCAGTGTCTAAATTGGTAAAAGATTGAAGAGAAGAGGTAGGTCTGACCTTCACCTCATAGGAATCTGCTTTGGACTGATATCGATCTTGATTCTCTCTCCTTCTCCTTGTGAAATTAGAGGAGGTCTGACATCGTCACACACCATTTTTTATAGTGACAGAGCCAGGATTTGAACTTAGGACTGATGGACTCCAAAAGCATTTCTCTTAAATATCCTATACTCCACCCAAGTTCAGAGAGGTTAGTTACCCTTACAGTTAGAAAGTGGCAGAGCTGGACTCTAAAGCCAGATTTCTGCTGAGAACCTTTTTTGTCTGTAGACTTTACTGCCCAATTATTAGTTTCTGACCTTTTGGACATTTTAAGGTATCCCTTTCCTATCTTACCTGAACTTGTGTTTCCACATCTTGAGTGATATGGTGCTCTCTAGTCAAAGCACTTGCAGGCAGTTCTCATTTCCAGATGTTCGGACTCCTTTATGAAGTGTGGAGAGTGGTGATGTCAGCTTAATGTTTCCCATTAGAGATGGATGTGTCAGAAAGTTCAAGTCTTTTGGGAACGTCAGGGCTTAAAAACCACGAGGTGGTCTATGAGGAGAGAATCCATCTAATGAGCAAGACCTGATGGGATTCATTTACTGGCTGTAAGTTTGAGGTGGGCTGAGTCTTCAATCACTCCAACTCTGTATGGGTATATGGAGGTATTGGCAAGAAACTTAAAGGTGCTGAGGACGTGGCCCATAATCATCTCTATGGGACAGTGGGTGGGGGGCAAGCAAGCATGGCCAAGTACTGAATCTGATCTATACATTTTAATTTGCAGAAAGGCCTCTGTAGTCGGTAAAAGTTTGGAAACATGCAGTATTATAGGAATCTAATTCTAACTCTACTAGTAACACATTGTGGGCAAAGCATTTCTCATCCCAGGGCTCATTTTTTCCCACCAGTTTGCAAGCCTGATCCAGGTATATGCCTGGGGCTGAAATACAAGTCAGAATAGAAAACCAACTGCTCTACTCGCCCCCCCAACTGGCTGCTCTGTGTTTTATAGGCATGAGTTGATTTCATCTTCACAAGCTCTGCATGGTAGATAGCATGGTAAACTGAGGCTGAGAGAGACGTTATGCAACTCTCTCAAACAGATGGTCTATGCATGCGAAAGCTGAACAGTGGAAAAAGAAGATAGAAGAAAAATTTCTGCATTTGAATTGTGGTGTTGGCAAAGAGTATTGAATATACCAGGGACTGCCAGAAGAACAAACAGATGTCTTTAAAAAAACAACAACAGAAAAACACTGGAATACACCCTAGAAATGATGATGATGAAATTTTGTCTTACTTTTTTGGGACTTGTCATAGAGAAAGACCAATTCCTAGGAAACACAAAAACTAAATACATTTAGCAGAAAACCAACCCAAACTCTTTACCGTCGAGTTGATTCTGACCCATCGTAACCCTGTAGAAAAGAGTATAACTTCTCCAAAGGGTTTCCAAAGCTGTAAATATTTATAGAAGTAAACTGCCACATGTCTCTCCTGCAAACTGATCAATGAGTTAGAATTGTTGACCTTTTGGTTAGTAGTTGAGCACGTAAGCACTGCTCTATCAGGATTTCTCTTATATTTGGTAGAGGATGAGCAAAAACAAGGGCAACTCTCAGCATGATGGATTGACAAAGTAGCCACAACAGTGGGCTCAAACATATCAAAGATCGAGAAGATGGACAGGACTGGGCATTGTTTTGTTCTGTTACATACAAGGTCATCTTGAATCAAAGTCAACTAGATGGCAACTGACAACAATAACTGTATTGCAAATGTCAGCTCATTCCATTGTGTCATGCTGTACTAAAATCCCTTTTGTAAAGTGTGCTACTTGAGGTAGGGTGGGAACAGAGACACTGATGTTCTTCAGTTAAACTTGTTGCAAGGACAGAAATCGGTTGGCTACATCACCTTCTTGACTGTACTCAATGAAATACCATACTGAATTAAACCAGAAGGATGGAGCAGTGTTGCATCATCATGGCCTTTTGGAGCATCTGCTGTTTTTGACCAGCTTCGATTGCATGTTGCAGGAGGTAGAAATGAACTGTTAATATGAACCTCACAGGACACTTACAATCTTGCGGCTGAGATCAAACTGCATTAAATATTGTCACTAGGAAATAATTAAATTATAGATTGTATGGATATAATGGTGATCTTCCAAGATCATCTATTTCTCTTTTTTGTTTTTTAATTTCCTTTCAGGATTTTCTGAGTATGACTCTGAAACTTACCTCTCTGAATTTGGTTACCTGTAGAATAGAAATGATGATGAATATTGAAGGTGTCATGGGCTGCCAAAAGAACTAACAGATCTGTTTTGGAAGAAGTGCAGCCAGAGATTTCCTTAGAGGCCAAGATGGCCAAACTTCGTCTCTCATATTTTGGACATATTGTCAGGAGGGAACAGTCGCTAGAGAAGGATATCATGCTTGGTAAGATGGAGGGTCAGAGAAAAAGAGGAAGACCCCCAACGAGATGGATTGGCCAGGTGGCAGCATTAATGGACTCAAGTGTGGCAACAGTTGTGAGGTTGGCCCAGGATCAGACATTGTTTCGTTCTGCTGTGCATAAGGTCGCTGTGAGTCGGTTCTGACTCAATGGCACCTAACAACAACAACAGGATATATCTGAAAGTATTTTACTTTGATTTATTTTTTTTTTTCCAGTAAGCATGCATAGACTCTTTGCTGAGAATTCCTTCAGCTTCAGAATGTGTGAAAACTCGAAATTAATGATATTTCTAAAATCAGATTTAATATCTTCACTTTCCAACCTAACCAGGATGGCTTACACTGTTTTTTTTTCTTTCTTAGTTTTAAAAAGTTTTTATTATTATTTGAGTGAAAGTTTACAGGGCAGATCATCAATTTTACATTCAACAAATCAAATACTTTGTTTCATTACAATAATTATAATTCCCTCCATGCAGATGATACAACCTTGCTTGCTGAAACTGAAGAGGACTTAAAATATTTACTGATGAAATCAAAGACCACAGCTTTCGGTAGGGATTACATCTCAGTATAAAGAAAAAAAAAAATCCTTACCACTGGACCAATAAATGCCATTCTTATCAATGGAGAAAAGATTGAAGTTGTCAAGGACTTTATTCTTTGATCAACTATCAACACTCATGGAAGCAGCAGTCAAGAAATCAAACGACGTATTGCATTAGGCAAATGTGCTGCACAAGCCCTTTTTAAAGTGTTGAAGAGCAAGGATGTCAGCTTGAAGACTAAGGTGCACATGACCCAAGCCATGGTATTTTCGATAACCTCATATGCATGCGAAAGCTGGACAGTGAATAAGGAAGACTGGAGAAGAATTGATGCTTTTGAGTTACGGTGTTGGAGGAGAATATTGAAAGTGCCATGGGCTGCCAAAAGAACCAACAGATCTGTATTGGAAGAAGTGCAGCCAGTGTGTCCTTTGAGG